ATTCAAGTTACTTTAAAATGTTCGCATTACATATAACTTCATTTTAATTTCAGTTAAGTTTCAGATAAGTTCCAATTCCAAATACTGGTCTGAGTAATGCGCTTTTGTAGTTAATAAATGTCGTCAATACAAAAAAGTTCTTTCAAACTCAAGTTTTAATGTTATGTTTGGGTTTTCTCTTTGCCATTAAATTTTATGTAGAAGAATTTTTTTATATAAAACAAACCTTAAATATCCTTAAAAAATAAAAACCTCTTTAAATGTCCTTAAATCACCTTTTAAAAAGTTAAAATTTGACTCAATTTCTCCTTTTTTTCTTTTTTTTTTTTTTTTAGTCATCTAGGAAATTTTATTTAAATGAATCGATTATACTTATTAATAAGTGAATGGATTATCTCTATATATTATTGCCAAACTTAATAGTTTTAATAGTTTTAGTAGTAGTAGTGTCCCTTGGAGCGTGTTTAACACAAAACCCTTGGCAGCCATTGCAACCAATGTATTGGCGAGAATGTCTCAGCTTTGCTTTAAGAAAACGTGAGCTAATGTGAAACTTGCTACTATCATACGTAAAACGTAATGTGAAACTTGCTACTATCATACTAAAACTATCATACGTACGTAAACTTCATGTTATGTATTCTTAAAACATACTTAAACATATCAAGTTTTACAGTTTTACTTTCACTTAAAAACTGCATTGCATCAACCACTTCTCAATTTTTGATCCGCAGCATTTCCATTAAAAACAATTTTTATATAGTTTTGAAATTTCGATCACCATCGTGCCAGCATGGCCGAGTGGTTTGCGCGCTGAGCTTCTGAACATAAATGCTGTGGTTCCTACCACCGGCAACTTTTTTTAAATTTTTTTTAGATTTTTTTAAATACAAAATACTTATGAAGTTTTATAAAGATTATAAACAAACATATCTAATAATACTGTTAATATATCAACCCTAATTATTTAATTACGGTTGATATATAAATTAGGAATTAGGAAAAATGAGGTTGGCAAAAATTTGCCGACCTCGATCTTTTTGAGGTCGGCATCAGGAGGCAAAAATTATTTGATACAAAGGTCTGACCATGAAACATAGAAATGAGGTCAGCAATTTTTTGCCGACCTCAAGCACTTTCAGGTCGGTAGTTAGGTCGGCATTGCCGAATGCTGACCCTAATTCTGAGGGTTGATATATAGAATATAAAATGTATAGAACTGAAAAGTTGTTTTGTTTTACGTTTTAAATAACAAAAATTGTAAAATAAAGCAAGCTGATGGTTTGAACTTGCCACGTGGCTTCCTCAACTTTTTAAAACAGTTAGGGGGTTTAAAAAGTATGTTTCATATAAGAACATAATTGAAAATTCTATTTTTATATTTAAATTAAACCATTTTGTTGGGTTAATTACTTTTTAAAATAATTAAAAAAGTAATTTAATATTGATACAGTAAGGAAATTTAGAGTTTTACAGCTATTTTACTATCCCTTGTTAAACAATTTAAATTGTGTGCTCAACGACAGAATTTAGATAACCATCAAAATAGTATTATACTCCATTATTTTTTGGCTTTATATACTTTTTGGCTGATCCCTAATCTAACTTTTATATAAGGGATCATCCATAAATTACGCAATGCTAAGTTGCGTAATTTATGAAAGCTAAATGAACAAAACATAAAAGATCAAAATTTTCCCTCGCAGTGTCGTATGTTAAATAAAAAATCAAAATAGCTCATTAAGTTTAATGAAAATCACTACCTAAAAGAACTAAAGATCTCCTTTTTTGAAAAAATTAAATTTAGCGTTGCGTAATTTATGGGCGATTCCTTTGCGTTTTATAGTCTTTAATGGCCTAAGATCTTCTTTGTTTTTCTATTTGGGTAGCAATGCATACAAACGTCTGTAAGTGTAAACGTCTTTAACATATGTTGAGTTTGCAGGCAGTGTATGGAACAATCGGGTATAATAAATTTATAAAGATGAGAAAACTTTTGACTTTTATTTTAACAATTAGAAATCTTTTTTGCTATCTTAATATTTTTTTGTTATAAATGTTGCTATATTTATTATAGATATGCACATATACAGAAATATTGGAATAAGTACAGCAAGATTGAAAATTTTTAATCTTGTTGTATTTGTCTTTAATTCTCCAAAACAACACTGATGACAGCGCACTAAACTGCTGACCTATCAATGATATGCGGTTAAAAGAAAAATAAATGCTGAAAGGGTGCGCGTGTTAATTTTTTTGCTTTTAAAGCAATTTTTTAAAAAGTTTTTATTTAAAAGTATTATAGTAAATAATAGGTATAAAAATGATCGGTGTGGAATAAATAAGTATAGAAATGGTAGATTTATTTATAAATTTGCAAACAGTCACTTAGTTTTAACTATAGTTTTAACTAAATCTAAAAAATATATTTTATATTATAAATATATTTATATTATAAATTTATAGAAAAAATTTATTGCGATATAAATATAAAAAAATAATCATAAATGGATGAGATATTCGTAACAAAAATTTTCAAGTTAATGACAATCTAATGCGCTAAAAAATATCCGAAGGTGATAAGAAAATAGTTTTTAATGTTTTGAATGAATGACTTTGCATAATCGAGTGGCGAATCAAAAGTTAACTTGATTAATTTAATTAGTTTATTGTTTGTTAATTTTCATGATATATTAGGATATGCCGAACAACTTATCATAAATTTTGATATACTTAGGCCAAACAATTGTCTGGCTTTTTATTTTTAATATGGGCGTGCTAAAGTGCTTTTACAACGAAACACAAAAAAAAAATTGTTTTAAAGGCTCATTTGTATTTATAATGTGACACTTTAAAACAAGGTCTGGTATAAGTTTTTATTTTTATTTTTTTATTGTTACGGCATTTTAAACAAAGTGGAAATTCTGCGGAATAAGCAGTGCTATCAAGCACAAACATTCAAAGTGTGGAGTAAAAATTACTACAATTATAAAAATTTTATACAAACTAAAAAAAATTTGATCGTCCAGAAAATATTTTTTTCATTTTTTCAATTTTTATCATTTCAGCCGATCAGTGTTGATCGGCAACACCTAAATTATTATTTTGAGCGCTGTATATATATATATATATATATATATATATATATATATATATATATATATATATATATATATATATATATATATATATATATATGTATATATATATATATATATATATATATATATATATATATATATATATATATATATATATATATATATATATATATATATATATATATATATATATACTAGTGATATAACCTTTAACTCTCAATCAAGAAGTTTGTGGTGCATATCTTTACACCTTCATGCAACAGTGTAGGGATTGCAAAAAAAATAAAGTAGAGATTAATAGGTTGAAGTATTACTTCAACCTATTAATCTCTACTTTATTTTTTAACTATCAAAAAAAATTAGTATTCAACAAACTCAAACGAGAGGTCACAGCTTTAAATTTGTCACAAAAAGAAATCACTAAGCAAGCATGTTGTGAAAACTTTTTATTTAATAGATCGGCCAATTTATGGAATAGCTTGCCAAGCGAGTTGGTTAAAGCACAATTAGTTAACAGTTTTAAAGCAGGTCTTGATTGATGGATGAGCAGCAATTAAGCGAATTGGCTATTATTGTGTGTTATTACCACACTCACTGGCTCAGACCAGTTTTAGCAGTTACTAATACTAATACTAAAAGTTTATTTTTTACAAGCGATTATTTTTCATGTTTTTTTTTTTAATTATTTAATAACTTACATAAATTGTAAGTCATAACCAAATTATACATTCAATACACACCCACTCAAAGGGGAAATTTGTTACCTCTTCCTACTAACTAAAAAAACCCAGAGAATATAATATATTACTGCTGATTATTTTCATGTGTGTTTGTATGCGTGTATATTGTATTCATATGTTTTATAATTTTATTTTTACTTTGTTTAGCTTATTTGATCATTGGGAGTTTTTTAAAAGTGCTGCTATTAATTCTGATAAGTAAATCTGTTATTTATTATTTCACATTTAATTTAGATTAATTATATATTTAAATATGTACTATGTATTTAAATATATTACATGTACTATATATCTACTATGTATAGAATATGTACTATTGTTTTAATAGTTATTGTTGTTAATATTCATCAATAGTTAGGGGTCGTCCATTAAGTACGATGCTCATAGGCCTAGCCCTGGCACAGGGTTTTAGACTTTGATTTTATATTTAACTTATAAAGCGGCATGCTTGAAAAAAACGTCAGCCCTAGGTAAAGTTTATTTTTGTTTGATTTTGTCGTTAAAACAAATTTTTTTATAATAAAAAGTAAATCATGACATCACTGTGATACGATTTCAGATCTTCACTGTGGAATGGCTAGCTTTTACCTCTTGGCCAAACAAACATACGAATTTCAAATTTTTTGGCGAATGTAGTTTATGGACGACCTCTTTGATAGATAATATATTAAATTTTACACATTGATTGATAATATATTAAATGTTACACACCCCTCATTTTGTGGCTTTGCAGTAATAGTTATGAAAAAATTTTATGTAATTAATGTAAGTTAAAAAATAATGAAAGTATATCTTATTGTCTAATTGAGTTTTTTATTCTTTTTTTTTTTTCTTTTTCTTTTTTTTTTCTTTCTTTCATTATTACAAAACAAACTTTTTACTACTATTTTGAATTTCAAGAAACATTTTAAAACCTAATACTAATCTTTTTATTAGTTTACTTTTAATCTTACAAACTTTAAGTCTTATTTAATTTTTATGAAATTTTATTCTAACGTTATTTCATTTTTACCTGAGTTTAGAAGAATAAATCTGTTTTAGGATCATAAACAAAATATTTGCTGTTGTTGATTTATCTATTATCGAAGCAAAGTTCAAGATAGATGAATTGACTATTTTCCAAAAGGTATTTTATAAAAATTTATATTTAGTATATATATATATATATATATATATATATATATATATATATATATATATATATATATATATATATATATATATATATATCTGTTTATATGTATGTAAGTATGTATGTTATAAACGTAAATATAAGTGTTATACTTTTTTCAATACAGAATTTAATAAATGGTACTTTGTTTCTGGCTGAAGCATCTTTAACAAAGTTTTTAAAGTATTTTTTATTTATTTTTTGACCTACTTTTTTTCTTCTTTCCTGAAAACTTATTTTCAACATTACAGTTTTGTTTTGTTTATTTTTGTTTTAGATTATATTCACCTGCTGAGACTATAAAAAATGTTGTTGATTTGCTCAAAGTGTTGCCAAATTTAAGTATTTTACCAATAGTAACAGTTGAAAAGTTACTAACATCAATTTATGATTTTAACGATGCTGAAACTAGGATCGGCATATTAAATCGCTTACCTACTTGTATAGCAACGCAATGTTCAATTGTAAGATAATTTTCCTATTTAATTAGTAGAATCAGTTTTTTTGTTTATTACTTATGTATTGTTCTTTTATATTATTTTATTGATTTTTATATTTTTTACCTTTTAATATTTTCTTTTTTAATGGTTTGTTTTATATATTATATATATATATATATATATATATATATATATATATATATATATATATATATATATATATATATATATATATATATATATATATATATATATATATATATATATACATACATACATATACATAAAAATTACATACAAAAAACCATTAAAGAAAATTAAAAGGTAAATATAAAATCAATAAAATAGTATGAAAATGACGCAAGTTGAATTTTTAATCAAAATTGGTCCCTAAGTTTTTGTTTTTGTATTTTCGTCATCATTTTTTTTTTTAAACATCTTCATTTCCAACAAGGCTGCAAGCAACCACTATTAGAGTTTTTTTTTTTTTAATTATCTTCGCTTCCAACAAGGTTGCAAGCAACCACTAATTAGTGTTGGAAGTTACTGGAAGAGAAAAGATGGAGATTGTAGAGCAAGATAACGATTGACAGTCGACTTAAAATATTGCAAATTATATGAATCAGGAAAGCAAGATGAAGGAATCGAATTCCAAAGAACTGATGTTCGAGGAAAAAAACTAGACGAATAAGAGTTTTTAGAGCACTTAGGAACAGTAACAGAAAAAGGATGAGACTTAATTGAATGACGAGTAACTAGAGAATGAATTTTAGTAGATTGCACAAGAGACGCTAGCTCTTTAGAGCAGTGCCCATCATAGTATTTGTAGAAAAGAGAAAGAGAAGCAACATTACAACGGGATAATAGTTGAAAGTTGGCTGCAAGAGCAGGTCCAACTATGTTTACAATGCGTTTTTGCACCTTGTCTAAAAGAGAAAGGGCATCATTAGAACAAGCACCCCAGATATGGCAACAGTATTCCATACAAGGCCGGATTTGGGATTTATAGAGATAGAGAATAGAATCCAGAGTAAGAAAGTGACGAGCTTGATAAAGAGATGCAACTTTAGCAGATGCTAATTTTGCAACGGATTTGATATAAGGTTTCCAAGAAAGATCAGAAGTAAGAGTTAATCCTAGAAGATGAAGGGTAGGAGACTCATTGAGTACATTTCCGTCCATAAATATAGGAAGGTCTAAATTATTGTGATAACGATTGGCCGAAAAAAATTGAGTTTTATCTGAATTAAAGTTCACCAGCCACTGCGAGCCCCATGCTGTAGCAGAAGTGAGATTTTTTTCGAGCTCAGATGCCCCCTGCAAGCAATCAGAGGGAGTTGGCTTCTTATCGTGGCAAGAATAAATGGTAGTATCATCAGTGAACAATGCCACCTTAGATGTGAGAATATCTGGAAGATTGTTAATGTAAATTAAAAAGAGTATAGGGCCAAGGATTGAATCTTGGGGAATCCCTGAGGTTACAGAATAAGAAGAAGAGTGCTGTCCATCAAGGACAACTTTTATACTACGATTGGAAAGGAAGGATTCAATAAACTTAAAGATGTTTCCAGATACACCATAAGAAGAAAGTTTATGGAGGAGACCAGCATGCCAAACTTTATCAAACGCTTTAGAAATGTCAAGAGCAATGGCCTTAACCTCTCCACCTTTATCTAATGCGCGATAAAACCTATCGGTTATTACTGATAGCAAATCAGCCGTAGAACGAGAAGATCGAAATCCATATTGATGATCAGAAAGTAGGTTATGAGATTCGAGATAAGAGATTAAGTGTTTGTTAATTAAAGATTCAAAAGCCTTGCTTATGATAGGAAGAAGACTAATGGGACGGTAGTTAGATGAGTCAGATCGCTCTCCAGAATTTTTAAAAATAGGGATAACAGATGCTGCTTTCCAGCAGGCTGGAAAACAAGACTCTGATAAGCACTTGTTGAATAGTTTTGAAAAGATAGACGACAGCTCAGGAGAACACTTCTGCAAGACTATAACAGGTATGTTGTCCGGGCCGCAAGCTGTAAAAGAGTCCAAGTGGGAAATCACTTTAGATACAGAAGCTGGAGTGATACGAATGTCGAGCAATGGATCAACCTGTTTGACGGGTATATCAGGTAAAACGCAACTAGTGGCATCAAGAGATGATATTGATGAAAAGTTCATGGCAAACAATTCAGCTTTGTCTTTAGGTGAGGTGACTAAGTCTGAACTGTACAAAAAAGGTGGAATTACAGACTTGCCCATATTATTGATACTATTAAAGATTCTCCAGAAGTCACGAGAGCCTAATTTTTGTGATGAAATACGAGATTTCATGATCTGAGAATAGCGGGTTTCGGCATTAGACAAAACCTTTTTATAATGGTTCCTAGCAGTAATAAAGAGACGTCTGTTTTCTGGAGAATTGTTTTGCTGATAGATATGGAAGTAATGGTTTCGATTGGCAATAGCAGCAGCACAATGTGAGGAAAACCATGGAGAAGAGTGAGGCTAGACCTGGAATCGTCGAGAGGGAATAAAGGATTCCATGCCAGCCTGAATCCATGAAGTTATGTAAGAAGCACATTTGTCAACAGGGAGACGAAAGATTTCTACCCAGGGGCCATCACGAAGAAAGTCATGAAAAGAGTCCCAGTCAGCTTTAAGGTAGTTGTAAGATGTACGATGATAGGGGGATTCTGATGATAAAGAAGAATGAGATAATAGTTTTAGAGAGACCAAACCATGATCAGACGCACCTAAGGGTGAGTGTGAAGAAACTGAATACTGACTAGGATTAGAAACAAGACATAAGTCGAGTAGAGAAGGTAAATGATTCGGGTTGTCTGGAAAAAGAGTTGGAAAGTTGACTATTTGAGTTAGGGATTGAGAAAAACAAAAGTTCTGGGCCTTATTGCCTGCAGAGTCACTGACACTAGAGCCAAGCCATTCAGTGTGATGAACATTAAAGTCACCGACAACAACAATATTGGCTGATGGATAAAGAATGATGACTTGGTCAATATAATCAGAAATAACATCAAGAAGAGTGCAGTCTTAGGATGAGGGAGAGCGATATAGAACAAAGAGAAAGGTGATAGAGTGAAGTGGTGCTAAACGAAAGCACATAAAAGAGTATTCTGTGGATTCAAACCTAGTTTCCCGACAAATGGATGAATTCTTACAAATGTAAATGCCCAGGCCAAACATGTGACTATTGGAGTCTTTACGAATTAAAGGAAGATAACCATCAACACTAAGATCACAAGATGAGACAGCTGAACTCAAATTAGTTTCACAAAGAGCAAGCAGGTCTGGTGAACTTTGCAAGAGTTAAGGCTCAACAGAAGAAAAGTTACTTCGAAGACCACGAATATTGGTGAATGATAGGTTTAGCGAACTTGGTGATGACTGTGGTTTTTTGTGTTTTATAGTTTTTGTTACTTTATTCATTTTTAAATTTGTTAAAGAACTTGACTCGAAACATTGATAGTACTCAGTACACTGTTCTATAGCTCAAGCAATTGCCTCATTTCCACTAATAAACCCTAAGCCGTAACAAAGGGCTCCAATGTGGCCTTGGCAATGCACACCAAAAGTACAAACAGGGACACCATCCATACGCAACATGGCACTGTTAGTACTCTGATATTTTTTAGCTGTTGATGGAATCAGCCTCTCTGAGAGCTACCACAGAGTTCGGGAAACCTGACTACCAGCTGGCCTCAGAACCATAGAACTGAGTTTTAGAGCTGTACCCTCATTTGGAGATAATAGAATGAGTTGCCTAGTCATAAAAACAGAGACACAAGCAAAACCCATGAATCGAGTCAAGAAGATCCTGTGTTCAACATCCTAAACTGGAAACAATGTATTAAAAATACATCTGCGCCAGCCTAATAGACGACGAAGGGGTGCGAGGCTGGTCAACAGATAGAATCTGTTTACCCCTTAAGTCATGGTAAATGTCATGGTAAAAGGATGAGACTTGATTAAGTTGTGAGTAATACGAGTATGATTTTAAGTAAATGGCACAAGAGACACTAGCTCTTTATAGAAGTGCCCATTATAAAATTTATAGAAAAGAGAAAGAAAAGCAACATAATCATGATGTGACTATGGTTGACGTTTGGCTGCAAGAGCAGGTCCTACTATGTTTATATTGCTATTTTGCACCTTGTCTAAATATAAAAGGGCATAATTCAAAGATTCGCTCTAGATATGGCAACAGTATTCCAAACAAGGAATAATTTAAGATATAAAGTGATAAAAAATAGAATCTGGAGAAAGAAAGTGGCAAACACGATAAAGAGATGTAACCTTAGCATATGCTAATTTTGCAATTGATTTAATATATGGTTTTGAAGTAGGATAGAATTAGGAGTTGGTTCTAGAAGATAAAGGGTAGATGACTCATCAAGTACATTGCTATTTATAAATATAGGAAGATCTAGATTGTTGCGATAACGATTAGCTGAAATGAATTTAGTTTTATCTGAGTTAAAGTTCACCATTCACTGAGAGTCCCATGCTGTAGCAGAAGTGAAACCCTATTTAAGCTCAAATGCCCCCTCCAAGCAATCTGAAAGTGTTGGCTTCTTATCAAGACAAAAATAAATGGTGGTATCATCAGCGAACAATGCCACCTTAAATTTGGGAATTTCTGGGAAATTGTTAGTGTAAATTTAAAAAAGTACAAGGCCGTGTATAGATCATTAAGGAACCCCTGAAGTTAAAGGATATGAAGAAGAGGGCTGTCCATTGAGGACAATTTTTATACTACGATTGGTAAGGAAAGATTCAATATTCTTCAAGATACAACCTGATACACTGTATGAAGAGAGCTTATGGAGAAGACCAGCATGCCAAACTTTTTCAAAATCTTTAGAAATGTCAAGAGCAATAGCCTTGACCTCTGGCTAATGCTACATCTATCTAATCACTATAAAACCTATCTGTTGTTACCGTTACCAAATCAGCTTTAGAACAAGATGGTCAAAAACCATATTGATAATCAGAAAGTTAGTTAT